GATGGGGGAGGGAGGGCCCTTCTGACCTAAGAATTGCATCTGGAAATAAGATTATTTCCCCCACACAGTGTCCTCGCCTTGGGTTTGTCCGGCACCCGGAGAAGATAATAAAAAACAATACCTTATCCAGTTAGGTGTTTCCTTACAGGATCTTCACGCAAATTAACTTACTTATCATCAGCTTAACTCTGTTGAGTAAATATATTTGTGTGCTTGTTTTTTTGAAAATAGGACAAATCTGAATGGACGTTAGGGGGCAAAGGCATTGCGGTCAGGTGACTTCTAATGATGGCTAAGTATTAGGACGTAAACACAGGTAAGATTAAGGCACATATCCAAGAATTCTCTTGTCACCCCTCCACCCCCCGCCCCCGCAAAACTCGTCAAAACTCATCCAATATGGATCATAAGACTTTGGGGTATGTTTGAGGACCTCAAGCAAGTGCACTTCTGCTTGTCATTTCTCTCAAAAGAGGAGGAAAGGGAGATCGGTGCACTGGTCGGGGTATTACAGCAAGCAACACACAGCTACAGTACAAGCTGTTCTTTGAACATGATGGTCTCTTAGCAGTGAGTATGTCGTTTTCCCACAGCCTGCTGGGTTTTTACAGCAATCGGTAGCCTTTTTTTTTTTTTATTTCATACTTCCTTAGAACTGAAGACATATGTTTCCAAGCCAGCTGGCTTCTGCGAACAGCCGGCCCTATAGCTCAAGGAGAAGGAATTAAAGGTGCCTGTAGTGCGGACATTTCCCATTGACTTCTCCTTCCTTAAATCTGCTCTGGCACCTACGGAAATGAGACCAGTTTACTTCTGAAGCTCTCCCAAGAGTAAGGAGTAAAAGGCCGTCGCTGTTAAAGCAAGGGCAAAGAAGCACCATTTGGACTGTGCCCTCTTTTGTATTTTTATTTTATGTGTCTAGCCTAGGAGCCAATTTGAAGGCTCGGTGTGCACCTTTTGGTCAGGATACACGTTTCCAAGACCCTGGTGGAGCCAAAGAGACCGGCTTGGCATAATTAAATACCCGCCCTGCACAGCAAAAGAGCAGCGGGCCGTCCGTTACTGCATCGATACTGCCATAAATCTGAGCCCATCAGGCAACCCAGAAAACCCCATTACACAGAGCACAAGGCCATTAAGTGGTGCCAGATCCAGCCAGCCTCTAAGAAATCTATGACCCACGGGTCCCTTTAGTAACCACACCAGTGCCTCTCTTGGAAATGACAGGGAGGGGGGAGATGGTCAGCACGCTAAAGAAAGACTTCACTTGGATATTTCCTGGCAGCTCTGCCCTGGCATCAGTCTGTGGTTTTGCTCATCTCTGCTTGCTTTTCTTTTTCTCTTTTTCTTTTCCCTTCCTCCTTCCCTCCCTTTCTTCTTTTCCTCCCTCCCTTCCTCCCTTTCCTTCCTTCTTTCTCCTTCCCTCTTTCCTTTCCTTCATTGAGATGGAAGGCTTGCAAACTTTTTGCCTACTTGAACCAGGTCCTCTTCGGTCTCTGGTCTTCAGGCAGTCTGTTCCTGGCTAGGAGAGCTATCCTGTTTACTGTGGAGAGGCACTTTCCCCAACTTTGCTTTACTTTTTGTTCCCCTGTATGCTCACCATGAGCAAGCATTTGTCATCCTTTGGTTGGAGCGTGAACGAGTCACTTTACAGACCTAAAAGGAATGTCTCAAACATCCCGTGTGCTCTGAGCCATTGTTAAAGGGAAATTCCTAGAGTGACCACTTGGGTTTTTGTGTTTTCATTTTGTGTTTGTTTTTGTCCTGGGGCTGGAACTCAAGGCCTGGGCGCTGTCCCTGAACTCTTGTGCTCAAGGCTAGTGTTATTACTTGAGCCACAGCTCCACTTCAAGCTTGGTTTGGGTGCTTAGTTGGAAATAAAAGTCTCAAGGACTTTCCTGACAGGGCTGGCTTTGAACCGCTGTCCTCAGATCTCAGCCTCCTGAGTAGCTCACAGGTGTGAGCACCAGCATGTGTGACCAGAGAAATGATGTCAGGCAAAGCCAGCAGGAACATCCCCCTAGATCTGATTGGTACAGCCACGCCAACCTCAAGTTCCTGCATCCCGATCTACGCCAACAGGACCTTCCAGGCTGGGGTCCATGTCTGACCGCAGGGCCATTCATTCCCTCTGTAACCTCCCTGACATGGGTGAGCCTCAGGGCAGGCCCTGTCCGGGCACAGACCCTGCCACAGCCCTGATTTTAGACTTACAAGCTGCAGAACTGTGAGCAATAAAACATAAGCTCCCCGGTTTATTCTTTTGCAAACGGACTAAGACAGCCCTCTACCTCCAGATAACCTTCTCTCCCACCCCTCTATCGCCTAAACTCTCCTCCGTCGTTTCCCAAATGTAAATCTTTCTTTTATTTTAAATAATTGTATTTTCCAAGACAGGGTCTCAGTACGTAGCTCAGATGGGCCCCAAACTCAATCAATCTTTCTGCCGCAGCCTCCCAAGTGCTGGGATTACAGGTATGTGCCATGGGTACCCAGGATTGGCTATATTTTAGAAGCATCTGTATTTTAGAAGCATCTGCTGCCTGATCGATTTGTGGACATTATCCAATAACCTCGGGGTCTCACTGTTGGACTGACACGTCTCCTTTCTGGAAAAAGTGACCCTCAAAGTCGTTTACCCTTTCCCTGGCAATAACAAGACAGTCAGAGCTACCCAGTGACCCATGGAAGGAGTTCCACAGAGACTGAGGGGAAAGGAGGTTCTGGAAATACAATCTTGTTAACATGAGGTGGATAATGGAGGTGAGAATGGACGTGTGGGGAGAGAGCTCTCTTCCCAGAGTCTAGCCTGCCTCCCCGTAAGGTTTGAAGCTGACACGGTGTTTTGACTCCTTGTCTCCCTGACTCTGCGAAGCCGCCTGTCCAGCCACATGGTAACCATCGTGGCCAGCGTGTCATCAAGATCCAGCTTCGGAACTGAGACGATCCTTACGGCGGCCACAGAAATCAGAGTTTCAGGAGGTAAATGTCCCCTGACTGAGGCCAGATTAGGAAACGGACTGAATGGTTGTTAAAATGCAGCCCCGCAGAGTTGGGCTCATGTTTGGACAACCGCATGAACCTATGTGAGAATGCCCCTTGGGAAGACTGGCACTGATGCCAATAAGAAAACGCGACTCATGGTCACTGCACTGCGCGGACACAGAGTGCCCGTCTGACATCCGAGAGGGAGGAGGGTGTGGCCTAGGAAAACAGCAATAAGCCGTTATGTGAGGATGCAGGAGCGGCCGAAAGGTAACCGCCAGGTGCCCGTCAGAGCATGCGCGTGTAAAGATGTGCACCAGAGTGACAGGGTTAATGGACAATGACGGAGACACGTAAGCCAGGCGCTAGCTCTGCAGCTGGGGAAAAAAAACAAAAACAAAAAGCAGGCTTACCCTGTAGTAATCCGTGCTGTAGACGTCTCTGGACATGCCGAAGTCTCCGATCTTCACCAGCAGGTTGGCTCCAACCAGGCAGTTCCTGGTAGCCAGGTCCCGGTGCACGAAGTGCTGAGAGGCAAGGTACACCATGCCGGAGGCGATCTGGCTGGCGATGTGGAGCATCTGAGAGAGCCCCAGCTCACCCTTCGCCTGGCGTGGCTGTCCGTCCACGAGGATCATGGCATCAGGCCCATGGGCCCTGCAGGTGGAGGGGAAGGAGGGAGGGAGCGGAGGCGGGGTCAGGTGATGGAGGTGCCCCAGGACCTCCCGGGAACACTTGCGGTTTCCATTCCCTGTGGTCTCTTCTGCTTCCCCAACATTACGGTAAGTGAGCTGAGCAGTGGCAACTTGAACAACCAGATCCCTGACTGAGATGACCTCAGACATTCTCGAACAGAACAAGAAACAAATCTACACTTTTCATGGTTTTTTTTTTGACATTTAAAAAAATATATTTTACTCCTACCTAGAGTAGATGGCTCCTACAGAATAACTAATGGAATGGCCATCATTAATGCTGACACAACCCTCATCATGTGGCAAGCACCATTTCTGATTGACTTAAATATTCTCAGTGAAACTTACGCTTTTGAAATAAAGAAATCAAGGGACCCCTCCCCCCAATGATCTGACTTCCCCCCCACACACACACACATACCTCCACCCCAGCCAAAATCCCAGAAGTCCCAAAATAGTTGATCAGGATGTAGGCTTCAAGGCCACGCCCACCACTGATTGGGAAGGAGAGCCGCCCAACCGAACACCAAGGAAGGCTTCAGACAGGATCCAGGCTCCGCCCCCTAGGATCCCAATTGGCTATGCAGAATTCCTTCATTTGCATTTCCTACTAGCTCTCGTGGCTGCTGACCCTCAAGTCCCTATCCCAACAGTAATTAGTGGGGTGCGGCGTCCACCTCCCCGCTCAGGAACCTGGGGGAGCAGGGAAAGATAGAGAGACGAGAGGCTCAGGGAGCCCCCCCCCCGCCCTGTCCCTCCTCCATTCCAAACTGAGGTGCGGGTTTGTTATCCCACGGCTCGGACTGTCCCATCGGTCACTTTTACTGCTCTCTCTCCCTTCTGCGGGAAGCGCAATGGGCCGTAACCACACCCAGGGCCCTTATTTATGAAGCCGTGGGCCAACGAGCCCTTGCTGTGTACAGCAAGGACTCGGCCTGTTTTACTGCTTCTCCAATTTCCACTGAAAGGCGCCGTTAACTGTGGACACACTCGTTTGATGATCTCTGGTGGGCTCGGTGGACCTCACTCCCGGGAAGGAAGGCCGACGTGAGGGCAGGTGACACCAGCCAGCTCCCAGGAAGAGCTGGGATACCCGTCTCTAAGAGCCTCCCGATGCCAAGGCACCCAGAGAACCCAACCTAATTGGTAGCATCCACTGGGGAAGGCCTAACCAGGAGACCCCTTAGGGCCTTGACCTGGAGAGACCACGCCATGCTGTCTTCAGGGGACTCCAAAGAGACGGGCAGAGAGGCAGCCCCACCCCGAAGCTTTGTACCTCCCTTCCCTTTCTTCCCTTCCTACTTTCGGCCTCTTCCTGGCCTCTACTCTCTTCCCTTCTGCTCCCTCTTCTTCCCTTTCCCTTCGAAGGGGCGTGGCAAGGACACAGGGGGCCATGCAGTTCCCCCAGCCCCCTGAGGGTGGCGCTGATGTGAAGGAGGGGGGAGGAAGGCGAGGCTGGGGCTCTGGCCTTGGGACGACTGAACACAAAGCAGAGCGGATTCCCCCCCCCCCCCGCCCCGCAGCCTGAGACTGGGGTTGGAGGTGGGCGTGGTGGTCCCCAGTTTGCATAGGGGGGGGGACGGGGGTGAGGGTGGCGGGCGGAGGTCCCGGCTCACCTGAGGAACTTGTTCAGGTCTCCGTGCTTCATGTACTCGAAGACCATGATGAGGGGGTCCCCGTCGCCGCACACTCCGTAGAACTTCACGATGTGCTCGTGCTGCAGGTTGGTGAGGAGCTCAGCCTCCCTCTGGAAATCCTTACGGGCAGCCAGCGTGGGGTCCTTCAGCGCCTGGCGGCCACGGGGGTACACCCACCGAGCAATCAGAGGGCGGGCAGGGCTCCTCTGCCCTTCACACACACACACACACACACACACACACACGGCCTGACTCCCCACGAATACGATTTTAACCGGAATGGAAAGGCAATGAAAGCCAAGCCCCGAGGCCTTCCCCCCAGATATCTCCAGCTGCCAGGCCTATAAGCTGGAGTGAGTGCCGGAGGCCAGAGAGCCCCCCCTCCCCCCCGCCTCCACCACAGCCCCCTTTAGAGTCACCTGCAGCCCCCCCCCAAGACCCTCCATCACCAGGGCACGCATCCGAGTTGCCGGACTCGGCTGACAAGGATCACCCGCCCCCACCAGCCTTGCCTTCCAACGCTTTTACCCTTCACCGTGCTCTCCCCTCCCAACAGTGGAATACCCCCCGACAAAAATGGCATAATGGCCAAAAGAGTTTAAAAAATCGTTTAAACGTACTGGGGAGAGGGTGGGAAAGGTCGGGGACGGAGGGGACGGGGTGGGGGGGCATGGTCAGACAGCAGAGCTGCCCAGCCCAGTCAGGGCTGCCAAGATGGTAAGACCGGCCGAGGAGAGAGATAAAGTAGGAGACCTCTTTGGGGACGCCCCGTGCGTTTTCTTGCTGTTGCTGTGGTCTTTGTTGTCAGCTTTGAAAGCTCCACTGCTGGACCCTTGTGTGTGTGTGTGTGTGTGTGTGTGTGTGTGTGTGTGTGTGTGTGTGTGTGTGTGATGTTTAAGTTAAGGTCTCACTTCCAGCTCAGACATCTACCTAGACTGTGGTCCTCCTATTTTAAGCTCCCTGTCATAACTAGAATGACAGGATGCACCACCATGCCTAGCTCCCTCCACTGAGATGAAGACTCGGGGATTTCCCCCCCCCCCACCTAGCCTCGCTCAGAACCTCAGTCCTTCAGATCTCAGCCTTCCGTGTCTAGTACGGCAGGTGTGAGCTGCTGGCGCCCAGCTCCGTGGCTGATTTATTTATTTATTTTTAATCAGGGCTATGTCTCCGCACTTGCTTGCTTTGGGAAGCTCCCTGTGAACAAAGGCCTAGACAGAATGGGGGTATTTGGGAACCACCAGAGTCATGGGGAGAGACGGATCTTCTCTGGGACCCGGGGCTCGGAGTCCCAGGCCCCCACACACACACTCCACCCCGAGCTGCCTGGTTTGGAGTGTGGGTTATAGAATCACTGAGGGTGATTTATGTATTTTTATGGAGAAGACAAAAAGAAAAAAAAATGGAACCCAGCATGGGTGGGATGGGAGGATATAAAGATTTATGTGGGACGCTGGATTTATGAGAAGGAGAAGGAGATCGAATTTGGGGCCAGCCAAATGGCCTTCCTCCATCTCTAAATCACTGTCTCCCACAGCCTGGATGTCGGGGGCAGCTCTGGGGTGTTTCCGTTCTCAGCCTCGAGCAGGACCAGCCCTCGTCCTCCAGATTGGCACCCTGCACAGCCGGGCAGACTCTGGGTTCTCCTTTTGACAGATGGAGCACAAAGCAACCGCTGTCTCTGTCGCTCCTGTGCACCCCTTTTTCCTGCCTTCGCACTGGCTTTTCCGGCTTCTGGAAAGATCTTACGTAACCGGCCAAGTCTGGAGCCACTGGGGTCCAGAGTGGCAAGTGGCCCCGGGGTCCCCCGGGGGTGATGCAACTGGGTCAGGGATGGCAGGGGAATCACGAGGGGGAGGGGGAGGGGGAGGACCGGGCCTGAAGGCCTCCGGGCCTCCTGGGGGGGGGGGCTGGTGAGCCCACTTCCAGTACTTGCTTGGTTGCTAGGAAACGGCAAACAGGTCAGCAGTGAGTGGCCGGCAATACAGCCGGTCTTTATGCTAGCCACCAACCGCTGCACAAAGAAGGTCTTGACGCTGGAGACGCTCTGGAGGGGCCCTGGGACAGACTTCTGTCTCTCCATGGGCACAGAGCAGAGCTGGGATTTGCCTCACAGAACAAGACACACACACAAAAAAAACCTCACGTTTTCTGCTGAGCCCTTGGTAGCTCAGGTTCTCTCAAACGAGCTCTTTGGGAGTCTGAGATCGAAGGATCCAGGTTCGAGACCCCATTAGGAGGATACATCTGAGAGCCTCTTATCTCCAACTGACCAGCCGAAAGCCGGAATTCCTCCCCCATCCCTCCCCAGCATCCAGGGGCTAAATGCCTGGCCAGACTTCTTTCTGATCTTCTGGAGTCCTCCCCCCAACAGGACCCCCTCCCACAGGCCTCCCTGGGCAGCCCCTCCACCCAGCTCTGCTCCTGAGAGACGGCTGAGTGACTTTCAGGCAGAGACAGCTCATCCTGCAGAGCGGTTGAGCTAGGAAGCCAAGCTGGGCCCCGTCCCCGGGGTATAAGCAGCCCCAAGGACCACGGCTAAGGCCTGAGCCCCAAGGAGGCTGGTTCTGGCTCCACCAGAAAGAGGACCTCCCCGGACCCCAGCTGTGTCTGAGGAGGCCAGTTTGGTAGCAAGTTCCCCGATGGGGAAGTAGGTAAGCCTCTCTCTCCCACCTCCCCAGCCCTCCTGCCCCATCCCACCATGCCTCCTACTCTGGGCTTTACCTTCACCGCCACAAGCATCTTGTCCTTGGTGGGGCTGAGGTTGTAGCACTCGGCCAGGAAGACCTTTCCAAAGGCCCCCTCCCCCAGTTCTCTCTTGAGCACGATGTCTCTCCTCTTGATGTGCTGGACATCTGCCAGGGGTCACAGCGGTGGAGGGGGGAGGGAGGAGGGAGGGCAGAGGTGTCAGTCCCGGGCCGAAGGCCAGGGCTCTGAGCTCCCCCAGCAGGGACAGCCACGGTTACCCGGTGTTGCGTGGTGATTGTGTGACCCGGGATCTGATCTCCCACGGCCGGAGAACAGACCTGGAGGTCACGGGTGGGGACCAGCACCGCGCCAGCCATTGCGGTGCAGGAGCAACTCTGCCACTGAGGCTGAGACTCAGTTCTGAATCTTCACTGCGTCTCCTTGCTTTCTAATTCTTCATTCTTAAGTTTGGACAGCTATGGAGTGTCACAGTATCCTCAGTCTGTAAAGGATGATGAGTAACAATCCCTTCCTGGCGCTGACTTCTTGAATGAAGGCTAAATGAGATAATCCATACAGAGAGCTTGGCCTAGCCCCTGGGATAGGCTAAAGCCATGCACACGCATGTACACACACACACACACACACACACACACACACACTCCCACCCACTGACTACAATCCCAAGCCCAGCTGTCTTCTATGAAGTGCCTGGCTCTGGTAGAAACTACTAGGTAGCCACTAAAATCATCTCAGGAAATAGTTTTATTTGTCCAATGCCTCTCAGAAAGAGAGAGAGAGAGAGAAAGAGAAAGAAAGAGAGACCACGTGTCAAGTTCAAGCCCGTACAAAGAGAAGGGTTGGACTAGCCCTGCTAATTTAGCAACCTAATTAAAGTCTGTCTGCCAGAAGAAAGCAGCGCGGCGACCTCGGCCCTCCCACCTCTGGAAAGAACGTGCTAGAAGGAATTTGTACGCGCAGTGAGCGCTGCGAAAGGGAGCCTTCCGGAGATGGTTGGCTGACCTCCGTGCTAATTGTTCGACAGGCAGAAGCGCGTTAAATACCTGTCTTAACATCACCAGGGCCGCCACAGGTCCGGGAGGAAGAATCGTCTCCCGATGACCTTGTTGAAAACGGAAAAGCCAAGGGTGGAGGACTGTGGCACACGGTCCCCACGCAGGCTGAGGGAGGCGGCCAGAAGGCCTGGCTAACCGTCTCCGTGGGTCTGGGGGTGGCCGTTCCCCCATCCGAGCCCCTCATCCTGGAGGCACCGGGAAGGCCTGCCCCATGACCGTATTGTGGAAGGGAAGGCGGGAAGGATACCGTGTCCTTCTCCCCAACGAGGCTGGCAGTTGTTAGCGGCTGCTCCTCACCGGCTGGTCTCAGGACTCTGAAGAGGCTGCCACACCCCGGTCTAGCCTCCTGCCCCGGTCCAGCCTGGCCTCTTCTGTCTCTCTTTCCTGACATCTGGGGTCTGGCCCTGAAGGAGCCCATGAAACCATCTCCCGCTGCGGGGGGACGGAAGGTCAGGGCCGCTCTGGGAAGGGCCTCTGCTTGTGACTGGTGATGAGGTGACCCCTGCGGGGCCCGGGCACGGGTGTGGCCCGCGAGGATGTGGCGGGGAGGAGCAGCTTCCACGGCTGCAAGCCAGGGGCTTAGAACAAGACACCATGAAAGACCCCCGAAGGCTCGCCCGCCTCACTCCCCGCCGTGGGTCTCCGTCCCTCAGACATAGCGTGGTTGGGAGGGATTGAACCGAGTTCTTGCTCCCTGCCGAGGAGGCCCGCAGACCTGAGAGTCTCCGGGTGGAAACCTCGTGTCCACCGTGCCGTGTTTTACTTCCCCTTCGTCTCCCTGCCTCCTCCTGGGCAGAAAGGCCAGAAAGGCTCTGCGGGGGACTCAGGGAAACCAAGTGGGAGCAGCCTGGTCCTTGAAATCCCTGGAGCCTGGCCGGGGCTTGGACGGCCGTGGACCTTGAGCAGTGGTGTGGGCAGGGACCCCAGCCTGGGAAACTCTCCGCTCCGCCAGCCCATGCCAGGGGTAAGCTGGACACCTCCGGCAGGACCAGGCCTCTGCCCTGGCCGTGAGTGAGGATGTGTCTTAGTCAGGGATACGGGGGTGTCCCTGGCCCGTCCCCGCTGTCTGAAGAGCGAAGAGAGCTTGAGATGCATGCGTGCGGGGGGCCGGCCATGGAAGGAACAGAGCATCAGAGGAGGGAACGAGGAATCACGCTCCTCCAGGGCAGAACCGGTTCCAGGCCCAGCCCTGCGCCACATCCACGGAGCTTTGATAAAGAAAGGCTGGCTCGGGGCCAGAGGCACGGGGCAAATCACTTCCGTGTGGAAGACACCTCGTGCCGGAGAGACTCGAGATCTCCGAAGGGCCATCCGAGAGGCTTCGATCCCAAAACCACCAAAGAAGAAGGCGGGCAAAGGGCAGTAATGGGGGCGAGACTCTTACAGTTGCAGGTGACCTTCCAGATTCACAGAGGTCAAAAAGTCTCTCCTCTTTCTGTCTGTCTCTACCTCGGTCTCTCTGTCTGTCTGTCTGTCTGTCTCTGTCTCTGCCTTTCTGTCTCTCTCTGTCTGTCTCTCTGTCTCTGTCTCTGTCTCTCCCTCTGTCTCTCTGTCTGTCTGTCTCTGCCTCTCTGTCTCTCTGTCTCTCTGCCTCTCTGCCTCTCTGTCTCTCTGCCTCTCTGTCTCTCTGCCTCTCTGCCTCTCTGCCTGTCTCTCTGTCTCTCTGTCTCTCTGTCTCTCTCTCTCTCTCTCTCTCTCTCCTCCCACCCCCTCCCCATCATGGCTCTGTTGGTAGGCATTAAGGCTGCCTTTACTCTTATCTGTCCCAACTATACGGCCACCAAAATGGTCCCGCCCAGCTTCCACCCTTCCACTCCCAGCCGGCTTTCTCTAGCTGTTTTTCCTGGGGCTCTCCACCAGCACAGTCCTCAGGGAACGTGGGTGTGGATGGGTGAGCCCGGGGCAGAACTAGGCTCTGCCGGGCCGCCGGGGAGGGGCAGGCGCCAACCATTTCATGATTGACGTGCACGCGTCTATTTGGGTCTCGGCTGTGCTTATTTTTAGGTCTCCTCGTGCTGCTCAGCATGGCCTCTCTGGCGAAGCCATCTGACCCAAGGGCCAAAAAATTTAAAAAGTGATGGATTTTCTTAGGATGAGAAGGCATCAATCTCCTTTGACGGCCCGACTGGCTGGCCCGACACAGTCTGGGTCTCCGGGCCGTGGGAAGATCTCCCGTGCCGAGGAGGACCCAGTTGCTGGAGAGAATCGGGGGCTGGTAGCCAATGCTGAGGGGGTCTTTGGAGAATGGGAAGGGTACTGGGACCTTTGTCTCTGGTTCTCCCCAAACTGCCTTTGTGCAAACCAATCAGTGCCCAGCCTTCCGGGAAGGTTCCAAGGACCCCTCCTCTGCAGCGGGGACGGAGGCAACGATCCTGTGCGTGGGGGATTCGGTTCTGGGAGGACCCCTAGGCCCGCAGCCAGCTGGAGCTCAGGTAGAATCTCTCATCCAGCAAGGGTAGCTTTGTGCAGAAGAGCCCCGAGACCTGGGAGGACAGCAGCTTGCCAGGCCGGGCCTCCCTCCTCTGTTGAACTGGGCAGGGGCGTTGGGGGGCGGGTGCCCTGTGATTAATTGGAGATAGGATGGACTTTCCTGCCCGATCCTCAGGCCTCAGCCTCCTGAGTAGCTAGGATGACATTTGTAAGCCACTGGCGCCTGGCTAGAAGCATGGATATGTAATTTTTTTTTAATGCCATTTCTTGGAGATTTGCACTCTCGGAGCTCAAGCTATGTCTAAACATGACAGTGATGGGGGGTGGGAGGGAGGAGGAAAGGGAGAGCTTGAAGACAGCTGATGATTTTCTCCAGAATTAAAACGGCCTGAGGCTGCTCAGCGTTGGGCCAGCGCTATCTCGGAGAGGTCACCGGTCACCTGTCCGAGGCAGACACCGGGATGTGCGACCTCCGCCTTCCTCGGAGACTAAAAGAGTTTGGGGGAGGAGGTTGGTGAGACAGCAGAATAAAGACATCTCAAGGCAAAGACAGCTGCCTACTCAAGGCCGGTATTGATCAGCAGGGTTCCCGGGCTCCGTGGTTATAAATTACGGCAATCCCGACTCTGCTGTACTACCAACTGCAAAAAATCAGTCTGGCAAAGCCAGCATGCCCAAGGCTCGGTGGGCCAGGCTCATTGCCAGCCTGGGGAAGGTCCTGTGTGGGCAGCGGTGACACCGTCTTTCCACGCAGGCTGGGATGCTGTCCACAAAGGCCGGACCTCGCCGGACCTCCTGTGTGTGGGGGCGGGGGGGGAGGAGGGACTAGAACACTCAGCTGTCAACTGGTTAGTTCTCTTGCCGGGAACTCTGGGATCTTTCCTCGTGATGCCGTTTGTGCTCACCTCCTTTAGTTAATCGTCCTTTTGGGTCCTATTAATAATAAAACTCGCTGCCATCGACGGAGCACTTAACTACCCTGAGTCGGGTGCCGGGCTGAGTACCAGGCACGCTCTGTCTCAGCCATCTTCACAGCAACCTGCCGTACCTCTGCTAGAGAGGAAGATCCTGAGGCTCAAGGTGATCGTGTCCTTGATCCAAGACCCTGAGTTCCTCTCCCCGCACCTCCCCCCACCCCCGCCAGGTGGCCTTTTTGGACTCTAAAGTCTAGGCCTGCAGTCCCCCTGTCCGCTGGGGACTCCATCCAAGACCCCCCACCCCCTGCAGTGGGCGCCTGAGAGACCCCCAGCTCCACAAGCACATATACTATGGAGAACTTTCCTTTATATATTGAACCTAGAAAGAGATTCACCAGCATCACTTACAACAGAACAATTACAATACCCTGAACTATATATATAGAGAGAGATGTATATATGTGAATATATACATAATATATTCACACCCATGTCACTCTGTGCGGACCGCGTGCGGTTGGCGGTGTGCAGCTGAGCCGAGCGCAAGGCCGTGGGCCAGGGGCACTACTGTGGGAGGAGACGGGGTCACCAATCCATCTGCAGGTCATGGCAGACCTCTCTCCGTGCAGCCACTCCCGCTCAGGGGAGACTTCCCGCACTCCGCGCTGTCCGGTATCAATACTCAGAGGAGACCCACAACATCCCATAAACACACGGTCACTTCATACTCGCTACCGCGGTGGC